AAGTGCTCTACCACTGAGCTACATGTCCAACCCTAAGGTATTCATGATTTCTAAAGTTTGTTTTACATTATTATTTTTTCTAGCAAATCTTAGGCTCACAAATTATAAGAATTACATATATTCTGAGTTAATAAAGAACGAATAAAGTTAATAAAGAACAAAGCTTAGGCTCACAAATTATAAGAATTACATATATTCTGAGTTAATAAAGAACGAAGAAAATTATTAAAAAAAATTATAATTACCAAAATTATAATGGTGTTACTACCACTGCTGAGTAGAAACAGATTAAATAAGACAACAAACTAACATTTCTTCCCCCAAATTTAGAAATTTGCTCAGTCCTATTGCTCTTTCAGTCCACTGAATGTATCTCCCATTCTTATCACTGTTATGCTGAATGCTTTCTATTTAAATGATTTACAGAAAGAAAGCCCTGGTCTGCTCACAGATATCATAGTCACCTGTTTATCTTCTGATGTGAGTTGTCATTACATGTGAGTTGTATCTGGTAATGTATCAACTGCAAGTCACTATTTCTGTTCTCAAGAATATAATAATAGTCCAGTTGCAGAAATACAATGCAAAACCCACAGAAAATAATTCAAGGTCATCCAATGTTATGAAAATTGGAAGGTGGTCAAGGAAAGCCTTGTTAGGAGAAGGAACACTGGATATGAGCTCAGAAGTTTGGGAAATATTCAAGCTATTGACGCTGTTTGGGAAAGCATCCTACCTGAGATTTTTTCCATCTCTTCCAATAGCTTTTCCAAGTCCTTATTCAGGTCTGACAGCATTCGCAGCATATTGTCGTAATTTCTTTCCCCAGGGTCAGAATCAGCCATCTAGGTGGTGCACAGCAAGAAGCTGCCATGAGATGGACTGGCATTTCACTTCTACTCCACATTCCACAGCCAGTGATTCTTTAAAGAACTCTGCCCTGGCTCTTAGATTCGGACAGTACCACTTACTCCACAGCGTTAGCAGCAGTTGCCAGGGAGACTGGGTCCTAACTTGAGTAGGCAACTCATTCACATTTTCATCTATAGCTTTGTACTTTGTAAAAGGGCACTGCTAATAGTACCTGTGCCTTATGGATAAGGTTTTTGTAAGGATTAAATGTTATAAATCATGTACTCTTCTGCAAGTACCTACAATAATAAACACTTAATAAATCAAACTTATTGTTATTGAAAATATTGAATGCCAACAAAATTACTCCAGATCTTCTTCTGATCTTCACTAATCACATCAATTCATTCCATTAATAATTGATGCTTATCTATTTAACTACAGGACTCTGGTCTAGGAAAGAAGGGAGAAAAATAATTAATAAAGCCATAGAAACTGCCAGGGAATTTATACTCTGTGAGATTATGAGGGAAGAAACCAGGTGACTGTTAATCAGGCAGGGGATGGCCCCAAACATAGCGTTGTTCTCAGGGTGCTTGTGGATGTGTGGGGTACAGTGCTTGCCTCTTGCTATAGTAAGAGGCCTCCATTTCGTAGCCTGTGGCTCCCAGGCCTCTCCCATCATGGCAGGTCTCATCTGGTGTTGGGCTTGTGCCCATCAACCCTTCTTATTAAAGGTGAAAATTCTGAGGAGGGGCATGGCACCCTCTAGCTCACGTGAGGTAGATGTGAGAACCAAAGGTGTAGGGGCAGGGTGTGTGGCCTTTTGGGATCTGTAAATGTGCTGCTTCTGTGGGCATGGAGCCACTCTCACTGGCAACTCCGCCCTTTAAATTCTTATTACTTTTGTAAGTAGAGATAGTTTGCTAGAGCAAGTGGGGAGGTGTAGGAGGCAGGGCAAGGGCCTGAGAGTGGATGATGGAAGAAAGAAATGTCTGGAACGCCTTCCTCGACTTTTACTGTGTCCATGGTCTGTTCTGTGGTCAGTTTCTCCCTTCCCTTTCCCAGCTAGGCCTCTCACATATGCCTGCCCCGTAGTTCCTACTCCTCAACTGTCCTCTGGCATCTCTCTGCCCTGCACAGAAACTGCTCTTACCAAAATCAAAATGGACCACTGCAGAAGGTGGAAAGGAGGCAAGAATAGGAAAACTAGTTAGGAGAGCACTGTGGTGCTCTCCAGGTATCACTTCAGAGGATGGCAGCTTGGATCATGATACTTCATGAATTAGTAGAAGGATCCAGCATCTTGTGGAAGAGGAGTCAGTAAAACTTGGTATAGGAGTTGATGGGTCTAGGTTTGCAGGGGCAAACAGTGGAAAGAGAAAGCTCCTAATTCTGGTGAGAGCACCTGAGAGAATGGTGGTGATATCAATTGAAATGGGGAAGAGCAGGAGAGGAGCAGAAGGAAAGCCAAGAGCCCTGTTTTAAACATGCTAACAAGAGATCTCTTAGGCGGGCTTTCACATGGAGATCCAGAGAGGCAGCTAAATACGCGGGCTTGGAGTTGAAGAGAGACTGGGCTGAAGACATGGAGACGGCGGGCTCTTTTCACCTTCACCTGGACCAGAAGCATAGAGATGCCTGCTTCTACGAACCGAGGCACAGGGAGAGTGGAGGGACAGAGTGTCAAAGAGCCACAAGGATGGAGGCTGTGGCCATTTGACTCTGGATCTGGAAAGTAGGTTCAAGAAGATAGGACAAGACTTGAGTAAAGAGGAAGGCCTTGAGATTAGGGTTCACGGGGTTTCTTCCTGATGAAGTAGCACTGTGATGGATGAAGCCTGGACCAGTGGCCGTGATCAGAGAGAATGTGGAGGTGGGTGGGAAGGGTCTGAGTTGGGTATTACTTTGGGTGAGAAGGGCCTGAGGAAGCAGGGTTGCTGGGGAGTCAGAATCCAGAAATATGAAGAATGCAAGGGTCTAGGGTCCCATTTGTGGTCTGAGGATCTTGCCTAGTACAAAGAACTTGATAGTATCTGGGATAGCCCTGAAAATAAGAAATGTGAGGGTATTTGAGGGGCTCTTAAATCAAGTGCAAGGAGTGAGGGTCTGGGAGTGTGACAGGGCAGAATGTGTGTTTGAGGAAAAGGGAGACACTTAGAGTTACCGAAGTAAGAAAAACCGGGACCCACCCCTGGTGCGCAGATTCGAGGACTGCATGTTGCTCAGAGGTGTCAGGTATGAGGTGGTATGTGGAGGGCAGGTGTCCCACCTGAATGTGGTGACGGGGAGATGCAAGATGAGTGGAATGAGGACCACGGGTGTGTAGAGTGCAGGACCTGTAATGTACGGTGCCAAGAGACAGTGGGGGCAGTGGGTGAGGACGTGAGGACAGGGTTGGGGGGACGTGGGGTAAGGAGTTGAGGTCAGGGGTGAGGGGTGAGGAGTGAGGAGCTGAGGTGAGGGGTGAGGAGCTGAGGTGA